GAATAAATAACGGCCAAAAAAATAAACTATACATCGAAGCTGTTTCAAAGTACACAGTGGAGGAGATCTGTGTGTTACCATACATAGGAAAAAAACATATTGTATGATGGTATATGTAGAAATAAATAAAAAAATACATTTATTTAACAAAGTTGTGGATGTGGTGGGGTGTTACCCCTCTCTTCTCTTCCCCGCCGCTCCTCACTTTGTTTGTGCATACATTTATGGTTCTCGAGTCAAAATAGTTGGTACGGTTGTGATCTTAACACCACACAACAATAACGTTATAAAAATTGACTCAATACGCATTTGTCCATAATATTCATACGACTGTTTTGTTGTTGTTGGCTGTGTTTGCCGACTTCCCCGCCACTTCTCAATCTCTTTTTTGGATTCCCAACTATGATCGTTGTATTTGCTTTGTTATATAGTTATGTGTATGTGACCGACTCCGACCGTCTGTTGTGTCGTCTATTCCTCTTCCACCTCTATGATATGCTTTGTTTGTTTTTATTTTTTTTTTTTTTTGGTCTGGTGTTTTTTTGTGACATTGTGCTTTGATGATAACAGCTCTGCTCTACACCATTTCCGAATTTTAACTAACAAACTATTAGGTTTTGTATCTAAAAATATATGTTTTTTGATTATTTTGAATGTGGAAATAGAGACCGTAGTTATTATTGCAAGCTATTTGCGTATGAAAATATTCCCAGAGATAGTTTTGTCTGTTCTTAACTTTTTTAATTATTTTTCTGTTATTTTTTTTCAAATTATATTTTTATTTTCGTTTTGAGAAAGTGTATTCAGCTCTTATTGTTTTTGTTCATTATCTTTGAATTTGCCAATACCAAGACAATGATGTGATGATGCTTGTCTCAGACACTTGAGACATCTATGCTCATGATGATGATGACGTTGTGTGTTATCAAAAATTTCATACTGGAAATTTCTGCCAAAATTTCTTTTTTTCAACACCAAAAAAAAAAAAAGCTCATAAACCAATGTTATTGAAATTTGTTAGGAGGTGTGTCAACTTTTTTGTTTGAAGGCTTGAAAACAGTCTTGGATGTCTGATGGAATTAGGTCGCCAGGGAGAGAAAGAGAGGAGGGATAAGACAAATTATGGTATGGAGATCTGTTTAGAATCATTACATTAAATACATAAACCTAAATATTCTGGATAAAAGCGACATAAAAAGAGGGGTACAGTATATAGAGAGGATCGACATCGTTTAAAAACTCTCTTTAATTAATGATTTTTGCGGGAAAAGTTCTACCAATTGATAGACCAAGAATGTCTATTTACAAACAAAAGCTTGGAAATTCTGTTTAGATCTTCTCATTCCTCTTAATTGAGGCACTATGGTCTTATGGGGTCTGTAAGATAAACTGGCCCTATTTTCATTTGGTTTTATACCCTTATACTTTTAATTGTGTCGGATTCCAAATAAAGGTATTAAAAATATCAGAAATTTTAAACTATACTAAATATTTTATTTAAAAGTGAGTTTTATTCCCCACTCATTTTCATTACCAAGCAATTTGGTTTTTTTAATGCTGTCAAATCCATAAAACTTGTGAGATATAAAGAACACACACACACATTACCTTTTGGCCGCTATATCAAATTAATTTTCTTTTGAGGAAAATCTTCAGTTTTATTATTTCACGTTCAACTCATCAATGGATTTCTATTGAAATGTTGTAAAAAAAAAGTTTTCAAATAAACGTTACATTGGAACAACGAACCCCCTGACTATATGAGTTATGGCCTTAACGTTACTTCTTAATTGCCTTGCTACATGTTACTTCATGTAGCAACAACTTGGAGCCACAGTAGCGCTGAGTTTCTTTAATTTTCTGTATCATCGTTTTTCTTAAGTATTGCTGTTGTTATTGTTGTTGGATGCAACTTGTTTCATTGACCGAACAGTTTATTTTTTTAAACAATGCTTTTCATTTATGATGCATCCCATTGCCTTTTCTTTTTTCCACTTCATTGTCGGTTTCCCCACTACTCTATCACAATATGCCCCTACTTTATGTGTGGAATAGAGTGGTGTTTCTGTTTTTTGGCTGGCGTCTCTGTCTGTTTGTTGCTGCGGCGTACGTGCTGAAAATCTCGTTGGCTTTGTTGCTGCTTGGTCGGTCGGTTGGTAGTTTGGTTTATCGTAAACTGCATTTTGTTTCTTCTTTTTTCGAATATTTCAACGTTTTTTGATGATATTTTATGTATGTGTTGTTTATGAGTTTCCTGTGCCCAGTTTTTCTCCACAAAACAATTGTTTACTATTTTATGCACTTTTTTTTTCATTTTTTCGGGATAAACTCTTTCATTGTTCTTTTGGAACAGGAAATGGGCCAACAATTGAATTTGTTGTGTGTGTGGTTTTTATCAAAACATATGACACCTAGTTTGCATAGATTTCCATTTTTCTGGTTTTTGTTGTTACATTGGGTTTTTTTTGGATGGAGGGAGGATGGGGGTAAAATTTGTATAGTTTTTGTTTTATCAGTTTACATTATTCAGATTTTGTTGTTGTTGTTGTAAGCTCAACACGTGCCTATTTTGCCCCTGACACTAAAATAACAGCCGCCCCCTCAATTACCACCCCAAACCATACTATATCAACCATTTAGGTTTTGTTTGGAACACCACCTTTTTATTGATAACAACGAAAAACTAAACAAAAATCAATTTTAATTTATGTATGTTAACAGTTGTTGTTGTTTTTAGAGGCAACAAAGTGTTGCTGTTAATATTATTAATCATTATTGACAAATGTTTATTTAATATCACCAGACAGACAAATCACTCAATTCCTCATCATCACAACTCTGGATTTTGTAATACATTTTTATCCTGTAATCTATTTGGGAAATGTTGACGTATTTTAGTTGTTATAATAATTATTTATAGATATGATATACAAACATAGAAGATATCTTAGTCATTTGTCTCATTTCCCTCAATAATTATGGAGAAGAAGAAGAGCTCTAGAATCTTTTGTCGTCACAGATAAATGAACTTTAGTTTTTTATAACCTTGAAATATTTTAAAAATAGACAATATCATTTTTTATACTGTCCTATTTTTATTTTGCCCTTAACATTTGTTTTCTTGTGTCCTACAGTCTCCCATTAAATATATAATGCATGATATTATTATTAAAATAGATATTAAAAATTAAAACAATATATATGGAAACGTGTGAATATAACTATTCAGCCCCATAAGGGGATATTTCTTTTTCGATTAAAGAATTTAAAATGAATTTTCACATCCTAGTAATTTTTAATTCTAACCTCCATTATATCTCGAGACATTATTGAATTCTAAAAATTTTTAATTTCAGTATTTTATTTTTCTCAGTGGATGAGAAATTTATTTGAAATACAAATTTCAATTATTCAATTTTTAAAATTATTATTTCAATATTTTCTTTTTCTCAGTGGATGAGAAATTTATTTGACAAAAAATTTAAAGAAAAATCCAATTTCTTAGAGATTTTTTTTCACACGCTTCTCAAAAATTATACCTTAAAATTAATAATTTATTTGTTTATTTTTAGTATTTAAAAAATAATATTTAATTTTTTAAAACCCAATTTTTGCACTCCCTTTTCCAACCCTTAATTAAAAAACTAAATTATTTAATATTTTGAGATTTTTTTATTTTACAGCAGCATTAATAAACCATTATCCACAATGTTTATTTTAATTACTTTCTTCACACACACATACACAAAAATAATTTTTTATACACATACATACACAACATCTCATTTTTCCCCCCTTGAAATTATTGTTATATGATTTTTTATTTTGTTTTCAAAACTAATCATTTTTATTATTCCTCCCATATTTTTCCTCTATACAGACCTGTAAGTTAAAACAAATTCAGGATAAGCAAAAAGCAAAATCATTATCATTTTACCAGAAAAACAAACAAAATTTTGAGAACATCGTTCATCAATTTTCTACTACAACAAAACCAAAAAAAAAGAGATAAAACCACACATATAAACCAAAAACAGATTTTTTGGTGTGGTATTAAAATAGTAAAAACAAAAACTATTACTCAAAGCACAAGCGTTTATTATCGTTATTAACAATAACAACAACAACAACTACTACAAGGAAGAAAAACACATAATAAACCACATATTGTGCTTTCGATTTGAAATATAAAATCTCAAATCAATCATTAAATTTCTTCCTTTTGGAACGAAATTATTGTCTATATAAAAAGCGTACTTTTTCGAAAAAAGTTTCTTTTGGGACATAAAACAAAAAAAGAGAATTTTTTTACAAAAATCTCTAAAACACAAAACATCAAAATACATATCTACGACGTGAGGGTTCAAATTGTTTGTTGTTTGCAAATTGTTGACAAATTTTTGGTTTAATTTCCCAAAAAACTAAACCAAAAAATTAAAGAATAGTACTAAGGTTTTTGGACCATCAACGAAACACGGCTAATATTTTTTTCCTAAACGAAAAGAATATTGAAAACACAGCAAGTTTCGTCCATTTAACCGGTGTGTACAACACAAGTAGCAAACAATAAATTTTATTTTCGGTATACATTTTGGGTATTTTCTTATTTTGAATATATATTTCTTTAATATTATTTTGATAAGTAAAAAAGGTCCTTTTTCCAAAAGTTGACCTTGTTGAATTGTATAAACAAAAGATTGAGAGTTTTATTCGTAAATAGAACTCGCTGATATCGCAACTCTACGTTTCATCTCTACTACTACTCATATATACAAGCTGAAAATAAAATCAAACAATTTTATTTTTCAAAAAAGAAATTTTGAAAAATAATCTACAAAAAAAACGGCCTAGAATACTTTTTTCTTCAATTTATTTCTCTTGTGCAGTTTTCTTGAGAATTGTCGCTGTTCTGTCGAACGGATTCTTGAGAGAAGCCAAAGCTAACATTTGAAATCAAATCAAAAAAATTATTCCTATTGTAAAATTTACACAAATAATAGGTACTAGGCCAGCCCTCACAATGTCTGTCCCTGTACGCTACTCTGCTGCCGCCAATTACGCCGTCGCTGATAGTGGTCTAAACAATCAAGAAGAGCAATATCATCAATACTCTGAACAGGATTTGTATAACCACCATTTCAACAGCCACTTGAACAACAACATCATCTACGGCTACAACAGCGTTTTGGAGGAGCAGCAGCAGTTGATGCAGCAGAACACATCGATGTCTGTGATGGTGAAGCCTGAAGACCTGGTTGCGGTAGGAGCAGGAAACAGCAGCAGCAGCAACAACACAATGTCGTCGACCAACAACATCGCCCCCTACCATCTTCAACATCACATGGATCAAGAGCAGGCCACAACATCGGCCAAGGCCCGTGAATTGTTGATGGTCGGCCGTGGTGGCTCTGATAATACCGATGTTCCCACAACATCGGCGATGGCGGCGGCGGCAGCAGCAGCTGAATCTGCAAATACTGCAGCCAATAATGGCAGCAGCCGTACTGCAGAGATGCGAACTGAGTGGATGAGGATGTCTGACGAGGGCCGGTATGGAACACCGGGTGCTGCTGGCTTGGATTATCAGAAATTTGAGCTGGAACAACAACAACAAACACCTAACAATCATATGGACCAAACCATGGAGCCTTCGTTAACGGACAATGAGAAGAAAACAACAACTAATAACAATTTGGAAGATCAACTGGTATCGCTATCATCTGAGGAGCTTTACAATACTCTTAAGGAATATGATGCATTACAAGATAAATATCACACCGTATTATTGTTGCCGAAAGAATCAAGGGTAAGTGTTGATGAAGTGTTTTTTTTTTAATTAATCTAACCAAATAAAATTTAATTTGGTTAAAAACAAAATTATTATCGATAAAAAAGTTTGTAAGGAATATTGTCGTTTTCTAAGGGAAACATTGTTATCAGTAATATTCTCTATAGAGAATGCATTCTTATCAATAATCTCTACTGGAAAATATGGTTGACTGACAATATTTCCTTTAACAAATGTCTTAATCGATAAAATTTTCCTTCAGAAAATATTGTTATCGACAATGTTTTCTATAAAAAAATATTCCTATGTTCACTCTCTAAGCTATTCCCCAATTTAATTTAAATTTTCTTTTTCCGTTACAGCGTGAAGTTACAGCTGGTGGTCGTGATGGCTCCGCTTATGTTTTACGTTGCCTTAAAATTTGGTATGAGCTGCCCTCCGATGTCTTATTCTCAGCCATGAGCTTAGTGGATCGTTTCTTGGATCGCATGGCTGTTAAGCCAAAACATATGGCCTGTATGAGTGTTGCCTCATTCCATTTGGCCATTAAACAATTGAATTTGAAGCCTATACCCGCCGAAGATTTAGTTACAATCTCACAGGTAAATTTCCACACCATATTATATGATTAACATCATTTAAATTCATCAAATCAATCCTAAATAGTCAGTAATATTAAAATTTGTAATAATTTAAATTATTTTTCCCTTAGTGTGGCTGTACCGCTGGCGATTTGGAACGTATGGCTGGTGTCATTGCCAATAAACTGGGCGTACAAATGGGTCATGCACCCATTACCTCGGTCAGCTATTTGCGCATCTACTATGCCCTGTTCTATAATCTTGCCAAGGAGATTGGCGGACAATTCTTTGAATTCTACAAGCAATTGATAAAATTGGAAGAATTGGAGAATCGCTTGGAAATTCTTTTGTGCGATGTAAAAACAACCGTGATAACACCATCCACATTAGCTTTGGTATTGATATGCCTGCATTTAGATTTCCATATTAAGGAATCATATACCCGTGGCAGCCCCGAATTGAAGCATGTCTTTGAGTATATACTCTTCTTGCAACAATATATGAGGGTAAGTAAAAAGAAGAGAATGGAAGCAATGAAGAACTTGTTTGTAATTATGTGTATTTTTCTTTGGCCCTTAGATTCCCGATCGTGTATTCACCTGCGGTTTTAGCATTGTTTCGGGCATTTTGTCCCATTACAATGGACAAAATAAACAGCCCTACAAGCAACGTTTGGTTTGGAAGCTTTCCAGCCGCACGTTGCGTGTATTGCGCCCAACCAATCGTTTTTCAACCGACCTGCCCACCATTGATGAAGGCATTTCTAATGTCATGGACGATGGATGTCGATCGAGGTAAGCATATTTTTTTTAGTTTATTTTTTAAAATTTTGTTTGTTTTTGTTATGCCAAAAATACAGAGAGGTAGAGAAAAGATGTAGTGGCAAAGTTCAGTTTTTAGATAACGAACAGATTTTTGGTTAACCCTTGTTACGAGCGATGAAACTAATTTATTGGCGACGGAATTTTGTTAATTTTAACGGTTTTTATTTTGTTTGAGGTTATGTTTTGATAAACATTGGTAGTCCAAAGAAAGCTTTATTTTACATGATTATTGTGGGATCTTTTAAAATTATATCCTGTTATTGCTCCCTTTAGTCCTTTGAATTTATTCAAATTTTAGCCTTTAGAAGGTTAAATAATTTTCACACGCACAATTTTGCGATTTTTGTGTGTGCGTATGTTGTGCTTAATTTTTTTATATATTATGTATGTATATATTTCTAAATAGAAATGTAAATTGTTTTTGCAATTTTTTTTACATACACAAATAGAAATCTGCTATATAAAATAAAAATAAAAACATCACCATATAAACTTGGGCGTAAACAAGTTTCTAAATTATTCGAAAAAAACAAAAAATCAACAAGAGCAACAAAAACGCAACACTTAAAAAAAAGCTTTTTTTGGAATATGCTTTCGTCTATTTGTTGTTTTTTCAATGATCACGAGTCTTGGCAAACAGCACACATGCACACACACACACACACCCGAACTTCTCCTCTAGCCCATTCAGACAGTCAGTAAGTCTATTAATGAAAATTGTTGTTATGTCTGTCTGAATTGTATTTGAGTATGTTTACGTCTGTGTGTACACATATCATACTTTTTGTCTTGTTTGTTTTTATTTTTTTCTTCTTCTTCGTGGGCCTAAATCAGCTACTACAATAACATATTTTTTTAGAGGCACTTTGGCCAAAATGTTTATGCCGTTTTGATATTGGGTGATGATTGCGATGGTGGCAGTGTGTGTGTCTGCTTGTAGGCATAGTTTGTGCCTTGTTGATTATTGATTGACTTTTAAACTATGCCATGAATTTTCTATAAATTTCTGTACCAACAATTTGTTTGATCAACAAATTTACGTCAACAATTGTAGGAGAAACATATTTTTTAAGCGAAACAAAATGTTGGCCAAACATAACCTCACAATTTTTTTTTGGTTTTTAATGAAAGTGAAAAAATGATATTGCAAATTTGTATTTAGAAAATAAATTTTTAAAGGAAATGGGTATAATAAGATGTAATGTAAAGGTTTTCATTTCTCATTTTTTTTTTTTTCATTTGGACAAATATTTTTCAGATATTTCATTGATAACACATTAAATTTATTATATATATATATATATATATATGTAGTTATATATACAAATATATATCTGCTTGATATATTTTATTTTAAGATTCCTTGGGGTTCTCTTTCCTTATTTTTTGGAAGGCAATCAATCATATTTGTCTAAGAAATTTGTCCATAAACATATTTTCTCTAGAAAACCCTTTTTCAATATCATTTTGTTTGTTGTGTCTATCATGGTTTTTATCTAATCATCTGTTAATTTCCAAAATATTATTTTCTAATTTGCCAAATTAATTTCTTTGTTTGTCGTGTGACACCAAAAAAATACAACAGAGTTCGAATATTCTGGGCAATAAAAAAGAAGAAAAATAACAATTAACGTCATATGTGGGCTGTTTACGTTAATGCCACCTTATATACGAAGAATAAATACACACACATATGTATATAAATGTGCGTATGTGTGTACTTGTTGAATACAATTTTGCAAAATAACAATAACAACAAGTTTTTCAAGTTCATTACTCTGCGCGGTTTATCATTTTGAAATAACATTTGTTATAAATAAGGCGACGACGAGGGGTTTATTTAACAAAAAGAGCGAGAGAGGAGGGTGGAGAGGGATAGTATGGAAATATACACTTGGACTTTAAACAATGTTAAAATTCTCCAAGGGGGAATTTTGTTATATAATAACTTTAGAAAAAAGGGGAAGATTATTTATTTGCAAAAAATATTTTCCTCCTCTCAATATTTATAGAGACTTGTGTCATGATTAGCTTGTCTTCGTCAACATGTTTACTTTTTTTTGCTTTTCTAAAAAATTGTTTTGACGAGAATTTTATTTACTCATCTATGCCATTGATTGCTTGCTAATGTTGTCCCCAATTTATGGGCATGTGTTAGTTTTGACGCAAAATAAATTAACAACAATAACAAAAAATAGTTTGTACATTATCATTAAGAGGTAGTGGAAATTTAGTTTTTTACTTTTTTTGAAGTATTTTATTTTGCATTCACAAGTTTAAAGCTTCTTGGAATTATTTTGTTTATGTCTGCTTGAAATTGATTTCATAAATTATGATAATTTTCATTTCGTTATCATAGAATTATTTGCTTTTTGCCAGACACCACATACTACTCTTAGGGGTGTGTTTGTGTGATTTTGTTTTGTTTTCTTCTTGACCAATCCACTATTTGCTTCCTTGTTCTCTGTGCGTTTTGCATTGCCGCCGCCTGTCCGGCTGTGTCATATGTTTTTATACAACTTGCACTTGTTGTGATCGTTCGATTGATGATGATGGTGATAACCCATTTTCTTCTAATCTTGTTTGCAAAGTGGTGGTGTGTGACCATCGGCATACATATATAATATATTATTTTGTTTATATTATATATTTAGACATTTATTATTGTTTTTTTTTGCACCATTTTCAAATGACCTTTAAATACAAAGTATTGTGTTGTTGCAGTCATCAACCAATTTTGTTTATCTTTCAGTTGTATGTCTGTCTAAATGTGAACAAATATTTGTTCTTGATATTGCATTAGCACTGTTTTACAACTATTGTTCAAGTTCATAATTGCATTATTTAGAACGATTTTCAAATTCTTATCATACTATGGATAACAAATATTGAGGGGGTATTTTATGATAGAAAATTTATTTATCAAAGTAAAAAAAACAACATTTTATTAGTTTAATAATTGTTATTGCTACTTTCTGGTTTCTTTAAAAAATAGTTGCACAATAATTAAAAACTAAAATTATAGACTTCTTCTTTAATATATTGACATTTAAAAAAACAAAAGGATCCAAATAGTCTTAGGAATCATATAGGACATCAAATATATAATCTTTACATTTGAAAGCTAATTTTACATTGTACTATTTAAAATTATTTTATTTATTTTTATCTAAATTAATTTTTTTGCATTTCTTATATTTCCAATTTTAGAACCGAAAGTGTTAGTTCTGAAGAAGAGGAGGACTGGCCAACTTCACCCATTATTCCAATATTCGAGCAATGTTAGTACGAGACCAACAACCGGAAACAAATATAATCTACAAAGTAGCATAACAGGATCAAAATGTTAAGCCAAGATTTATTTTTTATTTACTTCAAAATGTCGTGTCGTCGGTATACCCAAGCCAACAACATTACACAACCGTCCATTTAGTGCCATAATGCAGCAGCAATTGCGAAGCAAAACGATAAAACACATCTACACCAATAAGGATAAGTGATGGAGATGATGGCGACGTTATAGCTAATGTGCCCTAAAAACAAATAGGAAAGAGACAAATCCAAATGCAGATCATCATCATTAAGGAAATTTGAAAATATGTCACAATGAGAACAAGCACAACACTCTTTCTTCATTTAGCACTAAATGTCGGTTGGTAGTGTTTTATTTGGATGAACAAGAAAGCAACATACAAAAAGAACAACATAAACATATCCTGCATATATACTGCACATTGTAATGTGATGTTAAAGGTTTTAATTTCGTACTAAACAAAAACATTTTAAACAACAACCATAATATCAATTGTGGAATATTTGGAATAACCTGCAGCTAGCAGCAACCAACAACAACAGCAATAATAAAAGAAAGAAGATGAGTGTATATTTTTGTGCGTAGCAATATGACAAAATGCATCATAATTTAAACTTAAGTTATTACCCCCCGCCCTCTACCCCGCCACATTTCTGGTTCTCTCTAATTGTCTCTAAAATGAAAGAAAATTATGTAAAGAATCCTCCTCTACTATATTTCCAATTGGATGGATGATGAGAAGATGAAAAAGAAGAAATCACGCAATGATGAAAACAAAAATATTGGAAGAAATTGCAGAAGAAGAAGAAAAATAGCAACCATGATATTTTAAGATGATTAGAAGATATATTCATAAGTTTAAATATCCAAATTTTATTACTTACAACAATAGCAACAACAAGAAGATATGAAAGCAGAAAAAATCCGAAAAAAAATCTTAAAGAAAAAAAAAATATAAAAAAAAATTAAAAAAAACTTAAAATATGAAAGCGGACCATCATTACCAAGATTGATGCAGTTCCGGACCTTTTTGAAAGCGGTTGACAACGAACAACAACGACTGACTAATATATGTCATCAGCAACCACTAACGAAAGAACGAAAACTTAAAACCACCAAAAACCAAATTGAAAACAACAACAATTATTGGTAACAGCTTAAAGCCACCGGAAGACAGTATTGATTTGTTTGTCATCATCATCGTCGTTACGGTTTTGATTAACAAATCATTTGCTTTTGGGCTTTGTAATTGAAATGCTGGGCGTTTTTTGTTATTCCATTAAGGTCGTGTCTCTGTTGTGATGGAACAAGGAAGACGACGTGAGTGATATCCGCCAGGATGTCACCGCTCACTCACTACTCACCATTCAAACAAAACACTCTCTTCTTGAATAATTTGGGTTCGCGCTCAACATAAAATATATTAATTTTAATAGACAGTATGAAAAAAAAGAAAAGAAAACCATAAAAACAAAAAAACTTCTTAGCCTACAATTAAGTGGAAAATCGTATAGAATGGAAAACCAACAAATCCCCCTTATATACATACAATAACAAAAGATATATGTGAAAAACAAAAAACAAAAACCCAAAAAAATTACAAAAAATCTAAAAAACAAAAAAATCAACATTTTAAACTACCAACAACTATCCATTAGAAAGAAAAGAAAAAAAAACAGAAGAAAAAAATCTTAAATTAACTTTAAATTTAAATTACCAAACAAAACAAATCATCAACAACAAATAGTTTCTGTGTGTATCAATGTTAATTTCAAAACCTCCTTAACAAGAAAAGAAAATATTTCAAATCATTTTTTTGTCCTTATTTTAGTTTTGTTTTGTAAAGAAGATGAAAACAGGATAACTATAATTGCCCCCTAATTACTTTATAAATGTTTATGAAAAAATACCGTAAAACAAATTGACCTTATAATTTTTTTGTTGTCTCCAAATATATAATTTAAAATTTATTTAAAAAAATTACCAACCGAAAATCCAATGTTTTCTTTCCAAAAACAAAACAAACAGGAACAAGAAAAAAAACATACAAATAAACTTTAGTAGAAGTTTTAAAAGTACAAAAGTTCTAGGGAAGAAGAAACAAAGGGGAAAGGTAAGCGTCCCGTATCCTTACCTTTCCTTTTTGTTTTTATAATATTTTTTAAATTTAATTTTAATAACATACTATCAAGCAAACAAGAAAATACTTCAATACTCGTACTACCACCATTGTAATGAGTTTATTTCCAAACGAAACTTTTTGTTTGTCTGCATCGGGCTTAAACAGTTCTACAAAAACAATTCAAATTGTAAACTTAATTTAAATTACTTAAAGTTTATAACAACGAATCTCTTTTTGCTATTTTGGTATATGCCAAAAAACTGTTTTTGTCGCACAAATGCAGGCAACAACAAGTTTCGTTTATATTTTTCGTGTTTTGTTTTACAAAACACAACAACAAAAACCAACAAAACAAAATGTATTCAAGACTGTTCCTTTCAAGAACGCATAAAAATGTCTTAAAACAAAGAAATCCTTAAAAGCCTTTCAAGTGAAAAAGAAAAACAGAAAAAAACTGTAACTAGGAGGCAACTGTTTGTAAAACTTCTTAGCAAATTTTGCAAGTGAAGCCAGCTAAGCCTACCAAGCGAACATTATTTTTCAGCAGCAGTAGTGGCAATTTCAAGCCAGCCAGCCTTTTATACTGCTGCAAATAGATCTCATTGAAAATATCTATATTCGTATAGAATATTTTTCGCAATCAAAGTAGATTTATTGTGTAATTAAAAAAATATTAAAGAATTGTGTTTTTTCTTAAACACACGCCTATTAACGCGCTTCGAACAATTCCAGCCTTAAATTTCCCAAAGGCAAACGCGTAAAACCAACAAAAAAAAAAAAACAAAGAGATTGTCAAAAGAGTTCCTACACTCTTTTTTCCTTGTGATTATCGTGTGTGATATATATATTTATCTATCGTGTACACATCATCCATCATTTATTAATCATCATAACGAGTTATCTCTTTTTGTACCAAAATTCGGTTTACTTGCAAAGTTTGTTAGTTAGTTGGTCTTAATAAATTATTGTAATGATGTGAAATGAAAAGAGAAGAAATGCAATTTAAAATTTATGTATTGTACACAACACTCTCTCAGCAAATCGAACACACCCGCCCTTTAAATAAATTATTATTATTAATATTAGTAGAGTGATAAATTGATAAACTCACCTGCCCCCACAAAACAAAAAACCAATTACCCCTTCCCAGAAACCAAGAATTTTTTCTTTGTAGCGGTATTTTTTTATTTTTATTATTATTATTTTTTTTTGCTTTTTTGTTAATCTAATTTTATTTGTAAACTTAGTTATATTTACCTTACCCTCTACACATTATATATAGATATACACAATGTTTTTTTTGTAATTATAAAAAATAGTGATTTTTTCTCTCATATCATCTGTTTTTTTAAATTATACACTACTCTATCATTAATAATATTTTGTACAAATTTCAATTTAATTATTAGAAAAAACAAAACACCACTATATAAAATTAAATATACAAACAAAAAAACAAAATCAAAACAATCTGGAGTTTTCTCAATTTTTATTTTATTTTATGTAATAATGAAAAAAAGAAATGCTTTTTGTTGACATTTTTCTTCTTTTAGGATTCGCCTTTTATGGTATTATGATGCATAACAAAAACAAAAAATGTGTAATGAATTATTCTATTATATTTTTCATATTTTCTTTTACTCTTTACTTATTTGGATATACACCCATCTTCTTGGGAAATAATTGAATGCATTATAAATAAATGAAACAAACAAAAACAACAACAAAACAAACCTTGAACATCATGAAATACAATATTTTTTTGCATTAGAAAAAATATATATCAACAACAACAAGAAGAAGTATAATAAAGTTGGCTCGTATTTGAAATATAACTATAAAGGAATTTATTCAACAAATTCCACTTTTAAAAAAATAAATGTCAAGTTGTTTTTCTACTTTTGGTAGGGGTGGGGAAGCAATTATGAGACTTGTTGGTGAAATACATATTGGCCATATATTCCAATATATGGGATAGGGTCAAACATATTCGAGTAATTTATCGATAACTATTGACACATTTTTGGTATTCTGTAACAAAGTTTGACGACGACGATGTCGAAGATTCTTCGTCATTATTTTTGTTGGCGAATGAGGTGTTTGAATAATTTTTTTAAGAAATTAAAAAAAAATATGACTGGTCAAGAAGAGAATAAGTCATTTTCGACTCTATTCAATAAGTTTTGGAAAATTTCGTGTGAATAAAAAACAAAAAATATATGGTAGGATCTGTATATAAATCTGGTCAATATGAATCTTGTGCCACAAAAAAAAAAAGGTTTCGTCCCATTCGGATCATAAAGGTGAACTGTAACTTTTTTAAAATAATATATGTACGGAGGGACAGGCATAAATGGACTCAAAAAGTAATTCGATGTATATACTAAAAAGTAACTATGGGTCTATCTCGTTTCCATTTGGATGTTGCAAACACATGTACCAAGCCATAATGCCCTGTGCCACAGTGTGGTGAAGGATGCAAACACATTTTTGCACAAAAATATCAAACAAAATGAACAGCTGACTTCAATTTTAGAGATGTGTATTTTGTTTTATTGATATTATCGAAAAATAGTCGACAATCGTCGCATGAGTGTTACAGAATACCAAATCAATGTCGAAGTGATGTCGATGTCGAAGCGAAGTGATGTCGACAAAGAAACGTCGTCGACAACGACGACGACTTATGGAATAGGGGTGATTCTTATCGACTCTATACATTTGTATTGCTACAGTATAAATCTGAAATGAGTTTAAAGTTATATGTCAGATTTTGTCACGACAACCGTGATATGGATGAATATAACTAACGCTTTGATGCAGCATAGTTATTTAGTTTGAAAAAGAGGTCGATGGATCAAGATTTTGGACATTGACTTTTCCATATGA